TTTCGTCGCTGAAGGAAAAAACGATGCGCAACGGACCTCACTTGACATCTATACCTTAAAAAAGGTGACTTTTCGGATATCTCGAGAACGAAAGCATATTTTTCGGAAAGAAAAAAACGACCTGAGATAGGGTGTAACGTATCTGTGGTAAAATCTTTACCACGACTGGACCGTTTTTTCGAACGATCGTAATGTGACCTGGTGAAAACTGGAGTTTTCCAAAAGTGAGCTGCACAGGAGCGTGACCAAAGTACCAATAATCCCTTTTACGAGATGATTTTTTGAAAGCTCCTACTGTTGGAAGGTAAAGCGTATTTCCGTGCTACAAAGTATTTAAGGCGCACCAAATTCAAATTTTCCACACCATTCACCAGAAATAAATCATTGTGCTCAAAAATCCTGGATTACATTGTTCTTTACATAAACTAAAAACATCACTGATTTCAAATAACCCATATTTTTCTTACATAGGCAAAAATTAATATAATCTTCCTTTGGATTAATAAATTCTTCATCTTCACTTGAAAATTGTTGTTTCTTTTATTTGAAAATTCTCATCAGACACTCGTTTTGAAGCAATCAGAAGAAACTAAGATTTTCGTTTCGTTGATTTTCGCATTCCCAAGACATTGAAAACTGCCAAGTTAACTTGGCAGTTTTTAAACCGTTCAGACAGTTTTTAGGTGATTTGGATGGTGTGGTTTTATCACCGTAAATAGGTGGTTTTTTCGCTGCCAGTAAACCGCGTTGTCATAAATAGAATTTACACGAGCATCTTGACCGTTAAAAGATGTTTTACTGACTACAAACAGGCAGTTCGAACTACCAGTTTACGGCGGTAAAATGATCTACGTAAAATAGACGGTTTTTAGGAAGTTTTTAGAGAGTTAACTGTCAGTAAGGGTTTTGAACTAAGCTCTTTATTTTGGCTCATACCGATTTTTTGTAAAATCGCTCGAAGTAGGATTTCTAGAAACCGTGGTTTTCCGTATGCCAGACCAGAGAAAAAAATCAATGGAAAAAAAGTAGTGATGGTGTAACGGTCACGATCCACTACCTAACTGTGATTTATTTCGCTCACAACCTTGGTTAAAATGTTAACTGCTAAGATTTTAAGTTAAAACAGTTAAAAATAATGTGAAATTTTAGATAAATGTAGAAAATCTGTGAAAGAAACCGGATCGCGTAATACCGGAACATCACCAAACGTCTACGTGTATTCAGTTTTAAATTGTCTATTGAACGGTGTTTGAATAAGGTCTCCATCACTTATCTGATCTTAAATATCTGAAGTTTCAAAAAATCTAAACATTAAATTTAAGAATTCAAATTTTGAGCTGGAGACTCAAGTTTTTTTTGAAATTGTAGTCCGCTCTCCACTGAATCCAACCATATTGTTTGAAATGTTCCATCATTTGCCAGCTTTTAAAAAAAACTTTCACCGGTCAAGCATGCCGAAAACCACGGTTTTCTAAAAACCCTACTTGGAGTGATTGAGGTCTGTCAATTCATACAGTGAAGCTCAATAGTATAACCATGAATTCACAGTATCCACATATCACACCAATACCAACGCAACACAGTTTCACAGTAACATAGCATGACTTTCACAGTATCACAGTATCATAGTATGACTTTCATAGTTTCACAGTATCATACTATGACTCTCACAGTATCACAGTATCATAGTATGACTTTCATAGTTTCACAGTATCATACTATGACTCTCATAGTTTCATAGTACCATAGTATGACTTTCATAGTTTCACAGTATCATACTATCATAGTATGACTTTCGCAGTTTTACAATATCATAATATGACTCTCATAGTTTCATAGTTTCACAGTATCATACTATCATAGTATGACTTTCATTGGTATGATAAGTCGATGCTATGAATTCATGTTTATACTATTGACCTTCACAGTATCAATTGATAGCTATGGAGTGATTTTAGAAAAACTCTATTCAGAGGAGGATTTGCACTGATATCGCTTTCTCAGTAAAAGAACCGTGAATTAATCGCGGTTAGCCGAGTATTTTGTGCAGATTCGCGGTTAACCGGACAGTTAACTGAGGTTAAATGGCGATTTTTGCTGGTCTGATAAACATGGGTTGCGTGGTGCTATTTAGCTGATAGTACCAACTAAACATTTCGAAATACACAAGCGTCGATGCTTGTGTATTTCGAAATTTTTAGTTGGTTTTCAGTTTTTGGTGAAAATCTCGGTAATTTTTCAACGTGAAAATTCGAAGAAAACTGAACTAGTGCGATAGGATAGAAATACACATCAGTCGACGCAGTGTTTTATACTGATTCCGAATATGATATTTTTATTGTTCAAGTTGAGTTCTGATGGAGAAAATTGAGAATTCCAGGTCGAATTCCGTCTTTTCGCCTCTAATTTAGAAAACATGAATTTTCTCTGCAACGAAACAAAACTTAAAAAAAAGAAACATGCTTTTAAAGCTGGGCTCACGGTGGATACACTGCTATTGATACGACGGTTCCATCTGTTGACACAAAAACCGAGATAGGTTTACAAAATGACTCACCCATCTTTTCCAATGGTCCATTCGACTTCCTGTATGATGAACAGACGTTTACCTTCGAAATGGATTCAATATCATTTTCAATTCAGCTTTTAATGCTGAATAAGAAAACAATAGGTCTTTAGACCCTTCGAGTTTTTTCAATTTTTTCGACACGAAAAGAAAGTTTCAAAAATTTTCAATTAAAAACAAAAAAAAAAGTTTCAATTAAAAACTACATATTCTTGATCTGCTTGAAAGCTCTATCAAATGGTATATAATAAGTTTAAAAAAAATTCCCCTTAATGTTTTGAATTAGCTGCACCTTATAAAATTTTAGTTCCTCCTTGAACTATGTCTAACTCCTTGAACTATGTAATGGCAATTTGCCGCTTTAGTTCGAGGGTTATTAGGATTTCTTTATCTTCAAATAAATATAGTTTAAACCAAATTTTAGTTGTAACATACTAATTTCAGGTTTATTAAAAGGAAACGGCCAACAACTTTGACTATAAACTTTTTTGACAATCATATTCAATTTGATCTATAATTGGTATACTACAAGAATGCATGTGAAACACATGTCGTCAGCGCACATGTACAGTGCACTTGGGTTTGGCAAAACGTGTTTAGCGTTTAGTCTCGTCATTTAAACGTGTTCAGGTTACAAAATGCGTCTAGAATGAGACAACTACGGGCGTAAAAATCACATAAGAAGACCACTGTCTCGATTAGACACGTGCAGAATAACACAATTGGCGTTACTTTCAACCGTGTCGTGTAAAATTTTTCTTACTCTTATTAGAATCGAATCGTTTCGCAATCTATTCTATTCCAACTTGAGTCAAAAATATTTGTAGGAGTAAAAGAACAGAAAAACAAGCAAAATAGAGGAATATAAAACCAATATTGATTGTTGCTTTAGATAATTTGACCTCCGTTCTGCTCCAACAGCAACGACAGAAAAATGAAAAAATATTCTTTTTCAGAGAATCAAGCGACGCATTGTTAAGCTTTTGCAAAAACTAGTATATTTTTCAAAATTTTGTTGAAACAAAAAAACATTCTACGAGAAGTTCTTATGAAAATGAAATGGGAAACGTTGAGTGTCTTAAGACGAAATCCCCTTCGGGTTTTTTCCTCCAGTTTGTAGAGCACAGTCTCAAGTATATATTCTGCAATTTTTCGATTCATGTATTTGTAGTTTTTGAGAAAAATGTTTTTTGAAGTTTTTCGAAGATTTTTTACCCAAATTTTCAAATTTAGATAAAATCTTTAAATTTTAAAATGAAGACTTGTTTCTGCTGGAGGATATCAAGTCGTACATAGAAAAAAGCGTTCATCGTTCCAGAATGAAGTTTGACGAAGAAATTCAAATTTTTCCTTTCCGATGAAATTTTAGGACTCTAAGAATTTTAAAAAGCTTTGCCCGTAGTCTCTCTAAAAGGAAGCATTCTTGATATAACGTATGGCTGCAAACGTTGTTCAGAATATGATTTTCTATGGGATAAGACTTTGCTGGCTCAAAATTCCTTCAGGACTTTTCTTCAAGAGTGTTCGTGGCGTTCTTCGCCGAAAGGTACTTTAATTATTATGACAGTGTTTATTATATTTATTATATGCGAGAAGAGAGAGATATTCGAGAATGTCCTAGTTAGAACATCTTGTCGCATGCTAAAACAAAAGTCCTTGAATACGACAAGTAGCAAATGTTTACCAGAATGAGCACCTACAGTAGAGATGAGCCGAAAGCTGTCCTAGGAAAAATTAATCATCGGGAAATTTACTTTTAGAAAATGACTCGAGTGAGCTCTAGTCATAGGATTTGGATTAGAAAAAGTGGAGACTCGCCCATTTCATCTGAAACTGCATTATTTTGTAAAATTTTCTCAAGCCATTTCATCATTCATGATTTCTGCTGATGTCACAGCCCATTCTTGAGTATTTTAGTAGTCACAGAAGCACTTGTTCATTAAAATGAAACAAAAGGCTAAAAAACTGATGTAATGGCCGGATTGCATTGTAAAATTGTAATCACCTTTTTCTCACGTTGCATTCCATGTACCAATCCCGTCTTCGGATCTCGCTTTATGTACTGGCGTTTGATCATCACATGCCCCTCATCAAAATCATCGAACTCACGCAAATCATCTAAAACCTTCGTTGTACCATAGTATTCATGTGCCACTACTTCTTCCTTGAAACCATGACCGAGTGTTACACATTCAATACCATTAATTAGCGCGATGTGTCCGCTATCTAATATTAAATTGAAAACCGATTTACACTTCACTTCGATTTTTTTTCCAATATCGTCGGGAAAACTCCATTTACCATTGATTCTGACAGGATGCCAAGGGGTAATCAGTAGACCACTCTGATCAAATTTAATCATACCAATCGTTCCACCATCACACAAAGTTTCAACGACACAAACAACACGGGCACCGCCATTCAAAATGTCACCTCGTTGAATTTTATTGATCGGTTTAGTCTGTCCATCTTTTAAGGTCGCGATACAATTACCGTGAAAACAGCCTGCTGAATAGTTCATGTAGGCAGCCATTGGAACAGGTTCAGCTGTAGGACGAGCTGATGGCTTGGGCGAAGGTAGACTGATAAATATCTGTTCAATTTCATCCCGGAGACGATTGAATAATTCACCACCGTAATGTTGAACCCCTGGATCTTTGAAATTGTTACAGATTTTCATGAGGTGAGCGCGAGTAAGTGACGGCAAATACAGTTTTCCCCCTGAAAAATGAGAGATAAGCATTAAGTACCTGTCTTTGGATAAAGAGTAATGACTTTCAAAACGTTACTCCAAAGGATAAAAGTCACGATCATCATTTAAAGTGGTAGCGAGATGCAGAAAATTTTGCATTTATATAATTAGATTATGATAGAAATGTCAAGCCTATTACACTAGTTTTCTAGGGAGTACAAGATAAACGACTCTGAGGAAAACCGGGCTAGCATTTCATTTAGAAATTCTCTACTCTATATCTGACGAATCTAAAATATTGTTTCACCACATTTTATCAATAGTCGTTTAAGAACTGGTAAATACACGAATAATTGTAAAATTAAGGTGATTCGAATTCCGAAGAACGATACTATTTTTTTAAAAAAGATTTCAAGATAGGACCTTATGTACGTTTGTCAGAGCAGGGTGACTGGATGAAGTTTTTATGAAGTCATTGCATTATAAGTGAGGCACTAAAAACAAAAAATTTACTTAAAACTGAGTGCTTTTGTAAAAAATAGATGAAAGAAAAGGTTTGCGAGGCACTTTCAAAATGACATTTATACTTACATCGCTCAAACCATTCCTGCTTTGAAATTGCCTCAGTGACTTGTCCCTCCAAATCTTTCATTAAATCAACAATAAACGGATCATTTGCAACCGTTGATGATTTCACACCTTTCCCGAATGCTTTTATTATATTTTGAGCATTATCGAACTCATTAGTTTTCATAAAATTCATTGCTGTTCTGACTGTATCAATAAATTCTAGTCGATATCGATCAATTGCAAGATCATGAACAACCATTGTTCCTTCATCAGCCAAAATTTTGATAGATTTTTTCTTGAGCGGTGATGTATAACTAAGTGCAACGGTCACTGACGAAGCACTACTTAACAGTGGTATAATGACGCTTTTTTGTTGATCGTAGGTAACGGAACCAATGTGTATTTTTAAACCGTCACCGTCAATCTTTTCGGTTTCATATAATTCTGCATATTTTTCGCCCAAGACGGTTGATCCCAGAGGTTTTACTTCTAAACTAGCGTTTGTGGCAACAGTTGTCAGAAGACTGCTAAGGGCATTAATGAATATTGTGCCGACAAAACCACCATCAGGAATAAATGAATATGTACCTGAAACAAAGTTGAGACATATGACAGATTATTCTATTGGCTTTTCTACCCCAAGTAATGCAGGATTTTAAAAAGGAATGAATTAAGGAGATCACATCATCTGATGAACTCGACGAGCTTATCATAACTCCAAGATTATTTTTCAAAACAAATGTTTATACAGTACAATTACGGCCACAAATTGTAGTACTCTAGTATATATTCTTTAGAGAAATATATACTTCGCGTTCTTCACAAGTTCAAAGAAATTTTCGAGAAGGGCATTATATCAAGTTGTAGGATCGAAAGCCGTAAACAAATATAATAAACAAGTGGACCCATTAGAAGACTTTGCTTAGATAAACGCCTCATCGGTCTCGGTGGACCGTTCTTTCGACGAAGCGAAGCACTAAAGCGCATGGGGCTGTCAACTTTTTTAAGCGGTCACTGCTAAGTTAGAATGACCAGCATGATTAGTTTCTAGTACAGAGTGTATGATGATGAACGAATTGTGATAACTACTGACTTTGCACGGTCTTTCTATTGCTCCTCTAAGTTTTCAAAACTGGAAATCGTCAAGAGCTCGCAATCGTCAGTTTTCTTGCGAACTTTCTCGTAAATACTAGTCCAATACTCAGCAATATGACATTGTTGAAGGAAAATTTTCCTTTCAAAAGTGAGAAAACAGGTGAATACCCGTGATTCAAAGTACGGATCAAGAAGTTTTTAATTTGAGAACTTTTTAGATCAATTTTTTGTAAAAACATTGTTACTTACCATTCCCAATAATAGCAATTTCTTCCAATAGTTGACTGTCAAGTGTATATCCAAATCCAAATGTGTTTATAGTACACGAAAAGCCCGTTTTTGTTTTATATCGTTTCAACGTCGGTATGTGACCTCTCGGCGGCTCCTCGTTCGGACAGCCATCTGTGAGAATAAACAATGCCGAATTACTTTTATCAGTTGATCCTTTCGAGAGAATATCAAGACCATTCTTCAGTCCATCCCACAGATTTGTTGCTCCATCGGGCTCGAGCCGTTCGATGGCTGCCAGAGCACTTGTCTTTCCATCCTGAGTCATTTTTAACAATTGAAATAGGACTGTTGCCTTTCGGTTAAATTCAACTACTGACAAACGGTCGTGTTCATTCAACGTATGAATGATGGTCTTGAGGGCATGTTTGACGAGATCCAACTGAGATAGACCAAATTTTTCCACCATATTTTGCTCATCTTTTGTCTCAACTTCGAGTTGCATCGAGCCCGAAGTATCAACTACACAACAAATATCACACGGGGTACGCCGAATACCAACGGGCGGTTTCACTAAAACATAAGCACAATTTTCTCCATAACTAACACTAACTTTTAGATCAACATCGACAGGTTGTGCTTCAACGGCAGCTGGTGTTACTAAAGCAGGTGGAACAACGTTATTAGCTGCTTTGAACTGTTCAATGGTTTGCCGTAAAGCTCGATTCGGCGTTAAATCATGGATGGTCAAAGGGTTTCGAGTGATTGGTGATGTTGAATTATTCATAAGCCAGTCGTTTATTGCTCGTCGTTCGTAGCTGTTTCCATCTGGATCCATGACAGGATCAACCATAATCTCGTGTGTAATAGGGCATATAAATGCCTCTGGATAGTTTACCGTTATATTCATAGAATTCATGGTGCGTATGACTTTGGAGCTTAGAGTAAATAATGGAGAAACACGTTGCAATTTACGCTTTTTATATTATTTTTCTATGATTCAGTATGATACACACACATACAAATAAAGAAAAGGAAAAAAAGGTTAATATAATCGAGACAAAGGCAACATTTGACAAGTAAGAAAGAAAAAAAAAAAACTTTAGTTGCATAATCGAAAGAAATACACAAGGCCTTCATTCTACGTACATCAAATCATTAGCTTGAGGGAAAATGCGAGGGAAATTTTTTTCGAGAGTTTTGTTTGAGAATGAGAGGAAATTGGAATTTTTTACGTTGATTTTATAAGTAGGTTTTGGGGAGTTACAAGAAAGTTGATATTCAGCTGAGTTGATATTCATTGATCTCATTTGGGTTGACTTAATCTCTATGAATATCGAGCACTGGTACTGTCCGCAAAAAAAGCACAAAAGCGACCGAGATCATTGGGTATTCATCGGCAAAAGATTTGCTTAGATACTCCAGCGATACAAAAAAGGAAAAGAAAATACTGTAGAAAATAGTTTTGGACGACGCAGAAAATGTAAATAAAGCAAAATGCACAAGTATCACATTATTTATGCATTTACTGTACATGAAAACAAAGAAAAGTGAAGAAAGAAGGAGAGAAGAAGCCATCCAGATAAAAAATGTAATAGAGACGAAATAACTACAATTCATTTCAAAATAGAATATTGTTCATTTTTTCCGAATAACTTTAAAAGGAAAACGGCTAAAATATGTGGCTTACAGCTTTCGAGAGTAGACACCGGGCGCGTAAGTCTATGAAAACAGTGATTTATTAGCGCCTGTGAAGAATATATGCATTCTTCCCATTGACTTCTCATCCTTTCTCTTCTCTTCTTCAACAATGTCTCTCGTTGTGTGTATCTATTGTTATTTCTCATCAATTATCTTCTACAGTACATCTCAGTATCTTTCTTTTGCATAGTTTATGACCTCTTGTCTTGCTTCACTGCTTCTCTATCTATTCCACTGTACATTTTTCTGAACTCTTTATGAACTCTTATCCTCTCTTTCAATACGGTTCAATGCTTCTGTCTATTTTTACATTTATACAGTCATATTATGTTTAGTTGGTGTTAGAAATAAACTGAGGAACGGTCAATTTGCGTTACAGCCCACCTGCGAGTGCTGTATCACATCGATCGTTCAAAGAGTAGATCGCCCGCTCACGACGATTCAACGGGTTTTTAGTTCTTTTACCATAGCTAGATAGTGTAGAATGTCCTCTACAAACCTACGGAATTCCGAGATTGCTAGCTATCGTAACTCAAAAATCTCACCATACACCCCAATTTACCTGTTGATACTAGTTTTTTTCAAGAGACTTACGTGCTCCGTGTCTACTCTCGAAAGCTCTAAGCCGCATATTTTAGCTCTTGTCCTTCGAAAGTGATTCGAAAGATAATGATCAACATTCTGTTTTTTTCATACAATAAAAAAATGATCCCATTCGAAAAAATCATGTAAAAGAACAGAAGAGAAGCACATCTTTGTATAAGAGCTAGAGGTGTTACTTTAGTTTTATTGTTCATTTATAATAATGGATAAATGTAAATGGATCATTTATATGGCTTGGCCAAACGCTACAGAATTTCATTTTTTAGAATTTTGAACCCTCTAGTTTTTGACATAGATGAGCATCAGAGTTAAAAATTTTATTACAAGTGTAGTTAGTGAAGTTCTAGCTGCGGTGAAAATTTGAAGTCTCTGGCTCGCATTTATAGAGAGAAAACTTGAAATTACTCACTGTTACGGAATTTCAAAAAA